TTCTTGTTCCTTTTATTTAGGCTATTTGTTCATTCATTTCTTTGCATTACCGATATAGTCCTACTTTTTATAGTAATAATAATGCAGTTTTGCTATTACCGATTTTATTAATGAAGGCAATGCTACCGTTTACATTCATGCAGAAAGATCATGGTTTAAGCACCAAACAAGTGGTTTAAATTATGTTAGTCTCCTTATTTCTTTCAGTTTTATTTTAAATATTATAAATGTTTAAAGTTAAACATTACGATTAAGCTTTTGCTTCAAGTCTTTAAATTGAAAACAATTGTTATATATAAGAAACTGTCCAACTGTTGAATAAATATAACATTTCATTCATTCATTTTCTTGTCGGCTTAGTCCCTTTATTAATCCGGGGTCTCCACAGCAGAATGAATCACCAACTTATCCAACAAGTTTTTTTTTTTTTTTTAAGCAGCAGATGCCCTCCCAGCTGCAATCCATTTCTGGAAAACATCCACACACACACTCATACACTACTGACAATTTAGCCTACCCAATTCACCTGTAGCGCATGTCTTTGAACTGTGGGGGAAACCGGAGCACCCGGAGGAAACCCATGGGAGTGCAGGGAGAACATGCAAACTCCACACAGAAACGCCAACTGAGCCGAGGCTCGAACCAGCGACCCAGCGACCTTCTTGCTGTGAGGCACTACCTACTGCGCCACTGCTTCGCACTAATATAACATTTCACAAAACATATATTGCATAGAAAACGCATTATTAGCATTTAAGAACATTTGAAATGCAATAAAGCACATTCATTTTTATTATGTAATTGTCGCATTACTCCTGTGAAACGAAAAGCAAGTTTAAAGTGCACCTGTGGTGACAAATCTACTTTTCCAGCTGTTTGGACGGGCATGTGTGTAGGTATAGTGTACAGCCCTTCATATTAGGGTGATATAAACACTGTTACACATTGAGTAACACTATTTTTGACAATGCTAGTGTGTATTGTTCCTGTGTGTGTTGTATCCTCCATTATCTGTGTCTCTCTCTCCACATGAGCGGAGATCAGGTGCAGCTGTGAGAGGGGCGGCGCCAGCTATAAAAGCACGCTGTTGACGCTCCTCATCGAGTTCTCTTCCTGTTTCCCCTCGCTGTTGTGTGTGTGTGAGCAGTTCGCTCTGAGTTCTCTGTGTGGCAGTGATGTCTTACTGTCTGAAACCTTTTTCTAAAGTAATCTGGTGAGATACTCTGTTAATTACAGTAATAGGATGGCAACCTGCATTAGTGGTGGCTGATGGTTTAATTCCTTTCTACAACCCTGTTTCAAAGTCATCTGGTGAGATACTCTGTTAAACGCGGTACTAGGACGGTATCATGTGTTAGCTGTGGCTAATGTTTACTTTACGGCTGAATGATCGAAGGGAAGGCCCTTTTTCTTCTGTCCCGTTTTCTCCTGTTTTATGGTTAGTTATGGAGGGTAGAATTGTATGCTTTATTTACCTAACTTTATTTTCAGTTTAGGTAAGACTTTTAATATTAGCGTTGTGTTGTTTGTTGTTCTGGCCACTTTGTTCCCTGATTCTAACATTGATCTTTTTGTTTAATAAATCAGATACCCCTTTTGACAACTTGGCCTGTGTTGGTGTGCTTGGGGAGCAGGAACGGGGACTCCGGGTGACCTCTTTTAATAGCGGTCATCCTTAATCTTATGTGCGTAGCGAGGTGCATCCGCTACGTAACACACACCCAGTCCGTTTTTTTGGGATTTTAACATATAAATGGTGGACCAATTGGAGCGGTTTTGAGACCGACTGCAACTTGACGTAGGAGTACCGTCCCCCTGCCCACCGAATTGATTGACAGGCAGGCATTACCATGGTTTGTTGTTTCACGTCCGGCATTTTCAGTGAGTCAAAGCAATGTGACCAAAGAAACACCCTTGCTCTATATTAAGATGTAAGGCTCATTGGGCTCAACACAAGATCAACAGTCACCCCATGATTGCTCTCAACAGTGCCAATGTTTATAACTTTAGGTGGGTTTGCAAACACGCCTTTGGCGTGAAGCTCTAAACTGATCGTTCTTGCGATGTTTCAGCAGCTTCATTGGAGTTCACCTGTGGTCAATTCAGCTGATTGGACATGATTCGAAAAGGCACACACCTGTCTATATAAGGCTCCAAGGTTGACAGTCAGACATGTCAAAGCACAAACCACGCATGAAGAAAAAGGAATTGTCTGTAGACCTTCGAGACAGGATTGTCTCATGGCACAAGGCCGGGAAAGGTTACAAAAACATTTCTGCTGCTCTGAAAGTTCCAATGAGCACAGCGGCCTCCATCCTCCGTTAGTGGAAGATGTTTAACCACCAGGACTCTTCCTAGAGCTGGCCGGCCATCTAAGCTGAGTGATCGGGGGAGAAGGGCGTTAGTCTGGGAGGTTCATTCGTACAAAAATGTACAATTTTAAAAAGGAGGCATAGCACCCAACCCCACCCCTAAACCCAACCGTCATTGGGTGATGAGCAAAACGTACTAAATCCTAAAAATTAGTGGCTAATTCATATCAATTCGTATAATCTAATTCAAAAAAAGTTACGAATTGCTGTGAGATAGCGTTGAATCAACCTAGTTAAACCTTTCTCATTATTATTCATAGCAGAGTTTTCTTATCCTATGAGAAGAGCCGGCTTCTTAATTATTCATGACTGCATGTGCTTTCTGAAGGCAAGACACAGACGACAGACCTGCCAGTGCCAAGCTGTGAGACCCTATGTTAATGACTGGGTGAGACCGCGTCCACGGACCCACTGCATATAATATTTAGCCATTCATAAAGGGTCGTATGTGTTTGTTTTCATGATCCACGGGGTTTGTTGCATGTTTTTCCCTGCGATCCTGTCAAGGCCGATACGGCAAAGCTGTATGTGCAGCAAGCATTTTTGTCAGGAGAACTGTACGAGAATTGGAGAATGGCGGACTTCGTCGTTTATCAGTGGAGTTCGTTCACATTTAGACACATCGCTGTATTCATCTAAATCCTCCAGATTACCAGCAGGGCTAATGGTTAAAATAGGCAGAGTAAGAGACCTGCTGCACTGAGTTTGCATTCAGAACTGAGGATTGAGGGAGAGGTCCTCATTTATAGTGTTTATATAAACATGATTATCTTTATAATGATATAACTTGTTGTTATATGTATATAAAATTACAAATATCAAATGTAGCAGGGAATTAAATAACTCTTCATTTCTTTGCATTTTAACTTAGACTATAAAAGCATGCATCTCTTATTTTGAGCCCACTGAAAACAGTTGTTGGCTCCCCTCCTGCTTCCCTGCTCTGCAGGCCACGCCCACTCCTGCCTCTGCTTGCAGAGCTCCATGCCCATTAATCTGAGGTAGACTTGAAGCGAAAGTGGGGGGTTTCATGGCTCTTTAAGCTGTGTAGAAGTGTCTTGAAAAATATATAGACAAATATTATTTACTCTCATTATGGCAAAGATAAAATAAATCAGTTATTAGAAATGAGTTATTATTAGAAATGTGTTGAAAAAGCAAAAAGAATAGCTTCTTTCCCCCATATGGCTCTTGCAAATGCAATGATGCACAGGAGTAAAGTTGTTAAAGTCTGTAAGTGGAGCTGATTTATGAGTGATCATCATCATCATCATCATTATCATCATCATCATCCAAACATCTCTTGCAAAAAACACACAGCGCGCAGATGCTCAGGGCCACAAAACTAATCTGAAGCTGGTTTAGCTCATTAGTATTAACTGCAGAAGTGATGTGATTATCTCCAGCAGGAGCCTACAGGGTTAATGAACGAAGCCAAACATCCCTCGTTTCCTACCAATGACATTACAGCCCTAATCTAATAATATAGATCAATAAATGACCTACTAAAGAGTCATCGCTTGCCAGAGGCACACACATCTCTCCTGCTTCACAAAAACACAGAGAGCATGACTGTCAGACGATTATACATGTTTATCACACGGCTCTCTGGAATACTTGATTCTGATTGGTCCATCATAATATTCAATTCAAGTTTTTTTTTTTTTATAGTGCTTTTTACAATAACTATCCTTGTTGTCAGACAGCATCTTCTGCTGTTTAAATCAAGCCTTGTCATCGCTAAAGTCAACAGTTTCTCTTTCTTTTAAATATATAACCAGCCCAAACACATGTAATTCACCAAAACGTTTGGCACACACACACACTACTTTTTGAGAGCCTTAAATTACTCTACATTGATGTATCGACTTTTAACACTTTAAGACCCCGTGGACACTCTGATAAAATTAGACAAAACATTGTTCTGAGCCATAATAGCTTATTAATTCTTCAATTAAATGCAAAGCTGAGAAAAGTGAAAAAAGCTGATGGAGTATACACTAACCTATGCATTATTCATACACAAAACTGCGCAGGACAATCACAAACTGCGGCATGACAAACAGTTACATATGAATGTGAATGTAAGCATATTGATTTGAACGTATTCACTGATGATCAAGGTCGTTTGAAGTTCCCGAATGAGCTGGTGTTATTTAGTGGTTGTTATCTGAGAAAAACATACCTTGAAATGTCAGCTGCTGATAAACCTGTCAGCATATATCTTGATAACAAATGATTCCATTTAGATTATTCATCAACCATTTCATTTCACCTTTTTACGCATGCAAACACACACCGGGGGCGGAATCAGTTATTTGGGGGGGCTGTAAGCAATAACAGCCATGGGGCCCCAACAATCCTAATATGCACCCTTTGTATTTTTATTCATCTATTTCTGTTGTCTTTTATTTATAACCGCTCAATCTTCTTCCATTCTATCTATAATGTTCATAATGCCTGGTTATGTTTTGAACAATTGATAACTGCATGGATGTAATAATTAGGTTACAATTGTATTTGTTAGACCCTCACAATAGAAAATATGATGTATATTTTTTTGTATCACACAAAACAAAAACTTATACTTTTGTATATTATGATTATTGTTTTTTTATATAAAGGCTT